AGGTGAGGTTTGTGTGGTCCTGTCAGGATGCTGTGTTTCAGCTGTGGCTGTTGTTCTGCTCCAGTTCCTGTGGTCACTGTGTCTGCTGAGGTTGACATTTGGAAGGTTTTCATGGTGTTCTTTTAAAATCTTGTGACGTCCTCTGACCTTAAAACACCAGGTCCAGCATATTTAGGGGAAAATAAACACAAGCAAAACTAGTTTTTTTTTTTAGTGCTGAAATACTTCAATGCAGCTGTTGTCAATGCAAATCCAAGTAAGTGTTCGTGCTCTCACCTGTTCCACTCCACAGTCATGGCTGTGTGACTTTTTATAATTAGCATTTCTTTTAGTGAAGACACAAGGACGGGGTCTGTGGAAAGGAGAAGTGACCCGGGTCACGTGTCAGTGACTCAGTGATAACATCTTAGCTCACATGATCAGATTAATCCAACAGGGAAGTCCCTCAAACATGCCCTCTCTTCATACAGTGATGTTTGTTTCATCAACCTTCCATGAACAGGAGGTCGGTGTTTTGATGCTAGTCCGGCTGACTTTGTTTAGTGTCCAAACAAGTGGCATGTTTGTGAGGGTGATAAGAGGCAGGTGCTTCTCTGCATGTGTCTGTGTGTGTGTGTGTGTGCCTCAAAGACCTTTGTCACTCTAATCCTAATTGTTTTGGGACAACAGTGCAGCAGCGGGTTCGGCACATGCCTCCTCAGTTTTCCTTTTCACCAGATCTCAGCTGTTGTAAACTGAGGCACACTTATGCTAATCAGGGTACACACACACACACACACACAGACAAAGGGTCGCAAGAACAAATTGTTTTCAGTTGTTGATTATCATGTAACTACACCGATGACAACTGATGAACTGGTTATTAACAAAACAAGACGTTCAATTACATCTATATATTGAGACAGTGACCATTTATTTACAACAAATGGAACTCAAAGTACCGTCCAGCTGCTGCTTCAGCCCACATGGAGATAAAATGCAATTATGTACAACATTTAAAGTTAAATACATTTTAAGAAATGTTAACTGGCAAAATAAAAATAAATAAATAAATGAATATACACACATATATAACATTAATACGTGATCTATCTTAGAAATTAGAAAAACATACCATAACATAAAAGCATAACAAAGGGCAGTTAGCACGGTAAAGACAAATGACAAAAGTATTTAAGTTCTAGTTGTTAAGCCACAATCAGGTTTTCATCAGCTAAATTAAAAATACTGTCTGCATTAACTACTAAAAAAATTTGAAAAAAAATATTGCAGATTAATATTTGTTCTGTGCCCTGAAAGTATAATCTATTTTCAAAATGATGTCATGATAACATCACTATGTTTTTAAAAATTCTAATATAATATAATGTCTAGTAGCTTTCAGTGGGCAGCTTCTCAAAATATATTTCTCACATTCGCATTTGAAATACTTACTTCCTAAGGACAGGTTCACTGACTTCATGTTTGCAGCCTACTGCGTTGTATTGTTTTCAGCCTGTTACCAGTGAACAAACTGCCTGGTTACCGACCATGGACTTAAACAGTGAGGTGCAACAGATCAGCAGTTAGGTAGTAACCTTAAGCGCGGGTATTTGTTTTGTGAGAATATGGGATGAAAGAGTCAGGCTTGCCTCGTCTTGCCTGACTACATCGACACGCCAGTCATCTGGGTCAATATTAACTCTACAGTTTGAGGACATGGACATTCTGGTGACTCGGATATACGTTGGTTACACTGGGCAGTGAACAGTGGCATCACCTACTGACCTGCAGCTCCAGCAGCGCTACTAAAACTGTAATGATGTGCCTTTTATAGTAATGACTCTGTTTCCTTCCCACATCACCTCCATGTCCACAGAGGTCAGCTCTGAGTTCATCTACATCCAGTCATTAGTCCACCATGGCACAGAGGGGAAGTCCCTGCTTCTGGCAGTGGAGACTCGTTTCACATTGGACAAAGCAGATATTCAGGGGACGTGGTCTCACACCAGGCCCAGTGGCACCAGGACCACACTGGTGACGTTCACCAAGAACGCCACAATCCGTAACATGATGTACCGCGAGCGTCTCCTGTTAAAGGTCCCCAGTTTTTCTCTGCTGATCCATAAACTACAGCGGGACGATGAAGGGGATTATCATCTGAGTCTCAACATAGAGTTCCACAACAGGACGGGACTGGTTATGAAGGAGGAGAGGATGGTGCAGGTGACAGTGGACGGTGAGTTCTGTTCTGTCTCCGTTCTGCTGTGATGATGATCTTTTTGATATGTAACAGACAGAGTCCTAAACCCATCTTTTTTTTTTATCTTAGTCCCTGTTTCCAGTCCAGTCATTATGAAGTCCCCCACCCATGCAGTCATTGAAGACAAAGCCAATGTTACTTGGACCTGCTCTGTGGAGAGAGGGACCAGAGTTGTGTTTCAGTGGCTGAGGGACAATGTTCCGTTGGGCGTCAGCGACAGATATCACTTCTCGAAGGACAACTCCACATTGTTGATTAGCCCCGCGAAGAAGGAGGACAGGGGGACGTATCACTGTGTGGCTAGTAATGCAGTCAGCCAGGGTCGACACAGCAGGAGCCTGGGACTCAGTGTCTACTGTGAGTAAATGAACCCAATGTTCAGCCTCAGATTTCTACCCTGACACAGAGATGTGGTGTTTTTTTTTATAGAAAAATGGGATGGATATTGTGATCTAAGAAAAAACTGTTGATCAAAAACATTGACAAGCCCACCACACTGACCTAATATTAAGAAACAGGTTTAAATATTATTTGGACTGTCTTCAATTTGCCACTCTTTAAACCCACACTGACCTAATATTAAGAAACAATTGGCAAATGTCTTCAATTTGCCACTCTTTAAACCCGTCCTTTCTAATCCTTACAGCTCACAGTAAATGTTCTCCTTGAAGAACTAGGTTCTATGTAAATGTCTGGAGGGCGCTGAAAACACATGGCTGTTCAAGCTTGATATTTGCATGGAAATAGTATTATCGGCCAGAACTACTATTTTCTACTTTATAGACAGATTTGAAAAAACTAGAGTCTCCAACCTGTCGAAGTACGAGGCTGAACGTCCCAGACAGTCTTCCTGTGTCATTGATTTCTACCATCCTCAGCCAGGGCTATTGGAACTGTGGGTGTGTCGGGCACACTTGGCAGTGAGAACTGCACTACCAGTACACTTATCACTGTCATCATCGCTGTTTGCATAGACAAAGTGTGTTTGTGTTAAGATTCAGCAGCATCCTGCAGTGAGCAAGGCTCGACTATGAACAGTGAAAATACCTCCTTTGTATTTGCTCACACTCAGGTTCTGTTCCAGTCACTCTGTATCTCAACTATCACCATGTGTTGTTCCCTATATTTCCTGTTGGACACTAGTAGCTCTTTTTTATTTTGTAAAAATAGCTCTTTGAAAAAAAAGGTTGAAGACCCCTGTTATAAAGGGACAAAAATATATTTTTGTCTTATGTAGGAATGTTGATCTGTTATGAGTAATCATGCTCAATTATAATCAGTATTATTTATGATTAATTGTCATTAATCCACTGCAGTCTGTCCAAGCGTCAAACTGTAATGTTGCTCCAAACCTGCAGATGGCCCCTACAATCTGGAGGTGAACACAGCTCAGGGCCTGAGGACCGGCGAGGTGTTCACCATCAACCCCGGAGAGCTGGTCTTCTTCGACTGCCGCGCGGACTCGTACCCACCCAACAGCTACGTCTGGATCTCCAAGAGTCACAATTCCACTCAGATCATCACCTTCGGCCCTCGCCTGGAGGTGGTGTTCTACCAGTTGGCCCAGGCTGAAGAGTACCTGTGCCGGGCCTTTAACAACATGACACAGAAACAGGACGAGGCCCAGTTCACTCTGGTGGTGGCCAGCTTAGGTGGGTTGAGGGTGGGATAAAGGGAAATACTTGAATTGAGAAACAGTGAATTAATTATAAGATCTCTGCATTTACTGTAATAATGTGAAGCTCCTTATATCCAAACTGATAGAAATAAGCTGTCTTTTTAACAGAGGCAAAGTAAAAAACAAGTTTTTCAAATAAGATAAAAAAACTGGTTTGGTTCCTGTTGCTTGGCTCTTGTGCCTGCAGCCTGTATTGGAGTTGAGAGGCTGGGAAAGTAAACACAGACTCACAGCTGTTGTGTTTGTTGACCAAGTTTTATAGCATGTGGATTTTCTCTGTGCACTGAATATGACATGGCCATGTTGTCGTGGTGATGCTGAGACAGGCTCATGACTGATACTGACTGTGACTGGGAACATTGTTTACTGAGTAATATAGACTCATGGCAGTATTCATTTTAACTACCTCAGAGTCAAGCGCCAATGTTCCAAAACTGACCCTGTTACACACTGGTCCCTGATCACACCCACATTATTTACATTGTTACACTTTGTAAATATAATATTTGTAAGATTTTAAGGTTGCTCCACTGGTTTGGGAAGTAATTTAAAATAAAACTATTTTCTAGTCTTCAATAGCAGTGGGAAATTATGACTCCAGACTCAAAGTATCCTTTGTTTTCTAATGGACTCTCTTGTCTGTCATACAAAACATAATCATGATTTTTTTAGGATGACCTGAGTCATGTGAGTAAAACCAGGAACCACAGAGAAAACTGTTAGTTACTGTTATAAACATAAGTGCAAAGTCACCAGTGTTCTCAGAATAATAACTTAACCTAACTGGTTAACTGAAAAACAAACTAGCATGAAGACCTTTCACTGGTGATGGGCTGAGAGAACTCCCCCAGCTCCCCCCCACCCTCCGTTTCATGTTCCTCAATGTACTGCTATCATTATTAACTGTTTCCTGTGTGTTTTTGCAGATAAAGAGAAACAAATGCAGCAGAGTGGCTTCGTCTCACCACTGGCAGTCATCACTGTGTGTTCACTGTTCATCATTGGCTGTATGCTGCTGTTTCTCCTCAGGGGTTCCTGCCATCCCAAAAGAGGTAAAGCAGTGTTCATCTTACCACTATGATCTTTGGATTTCAAATGCTTGGTGATTTGCCCTTGTTGTAAATAAATATCTATTACCTCAACCAAGACGACTGTTTACAAGTGCTGATTGAACTACATCACGTGGCTATTGTAGCAGAATTGCTCTGTATCAACACCGTGACTGTTTTGGATCATGCAACAACCCTAACCTTGTATAGGAAGTATAGATAGTGTAAAAAACTCCTAACAATTACCTATTGGCTCATTTTGACACATATTCCTTTGTTTCTCTCCTTCTCTTCAATACTACAGTTCTGATGAGCATCTACAACAGGTAATACAAACTCTAATAAACACTATTTAATTTAATGTGCCTTTAATCCACATTTTTCATAAACTGATGTCAATATGTTTGTGCATTTTCGGCAGACCAATAACAGAGGAGAAAAAACCACATCGATCAGGTAAAATACTACTATAGCCCTAGTTACCGTTATTCTTCTTAGATGAAAATATTCGCACAAAATTTACATGCATATGTGTAAATTTACATACGTATTTTAACATATTTAATATTTACACCAAACTTTGCGAACATTATATCTCATATCATGGAACAAACGTCAGGGTTGTGTTTTTTAAGAACTGGTTAAAATTAGCCTCAGGCTAATTACTAATGTACGAGTCAACAGTGTAGTAAAACAGTGTGTGGTTTTATGACCTTTTCACTTTTGTCTTGACAGTTTTATTGATCGTATCCTCTGATATTAATTAACGGTATATCAACAGGTCACGAAGACGCCACAGAAGACTTTGGCATCTACGAGTTTGTCTCCATACCTGGGAAAATGGAGTCCACACAGGTATTATCTCGTGGGACATCTCAGAATCCTTCCTTCTCTCTGAATATCTGTCTGAATTGTCTGTCTGTCTGTGCTACTGCCCTGCAGGTGTCCTGCAGATCTCTGTCCCGCCTGGAGTCAGCTCAGGATTTACACACCACCATTTACGATGTGATCCGACATGTCCCAGAGGCCCCCAGTCACAGCTTTTTGTAGTGATATTCAGTGAGTGCTGAGGTGTCAAGGCTCAGTCACTCCACTGACAGACTCTGTGTAGCTTCGTTTTCTTTAAGTCTCTGTTGTAAAAGTCTGGAACGTTTTTTGTGACCTACCTGTATTGCCACAAGCGATGAAAGAAAGGAGGGTGAGTACGCTATCTGACTGTGCACTGCTGCTGTCCATAGGTCAGGACAGCTGTTAAATAACTTTTACATTACATTGTGAGATGACAATGTGCGAATGAATGGTTTGTTTTTAAGAGTGAGGTTAACTCACATTGATATTTAAAAAAGAAATTATTAAAAAATGATCCGATTTAGAAATGCAGTAGCTACCCTGACTTTGATCGATGCTACGGTCACATTCAGAGTACCTAAGCTCAGACACTTTAAATTAATTTATTGTTTAAATTTTAAGTAAGGTTCAATTTGCTTATTTATTACCTGTCTAAATGATCGATTCATTCTATGAGAAGTATTAGGATGAATAGATTCTCCTCGTATTAAGAATATATTTAGATTGAATGTACTGTATATATTGTACATGATTGACACTTCAGATTCTCTATACAGGACGTGCTGTTCTATATATCTGTGTTCTTTTTGCTGTAATGTATTTATTCCTTCACAAACTCAGTGTCACCAAATGTAGCATTTCACCTGCTTAACTTGGATACGATGAAGTATGAGTAATAACGACTAAATTATTGTACAGTTTGCATTGACTTGCCTGTCTTTTTGTACTTTAATAAAGACAAAAATGTTTACTATTATGGAATATGGCGTTTGTCTATTCAATTAGGAGAAAACATTTTATTTTATTTATCTTTATCTTTTTAGTTTGGCTCTTTCTTTGGACTACAACCACCCATTGGTTTTAATTTACTATTAATTTACTCATATCCTCCAGGTGGAGTTTTCTCAGTGTTTTTGTCAAAAGGTTTTGTTTATCTGTCCCCTATCCTTCTCTGAATTTGTGGAGAACACTTTTTTTTGCCCAGTTCTTGTCATGTTTTGACAACAGTGAATTTTCTTCCGCTTCATTTCAATGGTGCCATGACTCTTTCTCAGGTGACAGATTTATCACTTAAACACTAATAATTATTCTACTGTTTAGGCACAGCAGAAGTTTTCTCGTTTCACCAAATTGTCAGGCAAGATAGCAGGTTCAAAATTAACTTAAAGTTTAAAATTATGTTGACATTTTTGTAAAAACAAAACAAAAAAAAAAAATTCAGAAATACATTTTTCTGAAAGGATAACATTGTTGTTTTTAACTGCATGTTGAAGACTGTTATGTGTTATCTTTTTGTCTTGTCCTAATAGCAGCAGTCGGCCTCCTGCTAAGTGTTAGAAGCGGAGTTGTGTCCAATATGTCACTGGTATTTATTCAAAATCCATAACAAATTTTTGGACATATTTGATAAGTTTAAAACTGAACTTAATATAATTGTGTCATTTTTATTCTCATACAAAAGTATAAATCAATATTTTATTTTGATTATTTCCAGCAAAACAGCATGCTGCTCCGGTTATAGTTTATGAACTGACCAACGGAGCACGGAGCATGTGTCTGTGTGGCGGCATCTCCGGGTTCTGGCTGCCATCTGTTCCGTCTCAGTGTATGCTTTAAGGGAGAGGCTCTGGGCTGTAGATGAGTGTGTAACAAACAAGCAGTGGAGTAAATTCTCCTAACAGTGTGACCTCACCTTCATTTGACTTGGAAATACCCTGAGGCATCATTAACCAGGAACTAGCTTTCCCAGCTTCTTATGTCGGCTTTATGCTACCTGCTTTTAACCAAACACTGCTCATACTAACACCCAAGGGCATAATAACACCTTGTCATCCGATGGCAATGTGTTTTTTTTCCAGCTTGAATCAATTTGTGTTTAAAAATATACATCACACAATATATAACACAATTCCTTTTTTGTGATTTGATTTAATTTTTAAACACATTTCTCATTAACTAGGAACTAAAAGCTATGCTAGGATAAATAAATAAATAATGAATGCATTATTTACAACAGCATATACAAATAATAATTAAGCTATTTTACTAAGCTATTTTCTTAATAGTTAAATAAAATTTAAGTTATAAAATACAGTTGTGTATTTGAGATGGTTTGTAAAATAAAAATAAAAATAAAAATAAAAATAAAAATAAAAATAAATAAAATAAATAAAATAAATAAATAAATAAAAATAATGATAATAATAATAATTATTATAAACACCAATTTAAATTATTATAGTAAGTAAAGTCTTCATTTCCCACAATGCCTTGTGATTACTGACGCCACTACCTCTCCAATCACGTGACAATCCACTATGGCTTCCCTTGAGTAGTGAGGGAGGTACAGCGTCAACAACAGAGCAGAACCTTGACTTGTAACCTCTTCTCTGTCCACGGACTGTGTGTGGATTAACCATGCAGAAGATCAAGTCCCTCATGACTCGGCAGGTGAATACAGCCGTGACTAAAAGTGACCCGAAGTCCTCGGTTTAAATGTAACAGCTGCGAATAGCTGGGCTAAGCTAAAAGGCTAACGTGACAGCTCGTCGTTTGATTCAGATATACACATATTATTAACAGCCGGTTGTCAATAGCAACGGGACAACGATCCGCTTCAACACGGGAGCGCTGTCATAGCCATGATTTCATCATGGCATTTTAATATCACAGAAACGTGATAACGGGGAAGGGCATTGTACAGAGATGATGGGGAAGTTCTCAGTTTGCACAGCAGTAACATTACACTGAAAACACAACAGCACAATGAAATGTTCCCTGAAAAAAACTGCACGTCAGGTTAATCCTTTTCACGTTATTGAACGATAACTATTAGGGTTTGCAGTTAAGGAAAACCAGGGTTTAATATGACTTAATGAAGACGGTACAGTGACTGTGTTTTCTTGACAGGGCCTGAAGAGTCCTCAGGAGAGCATGACAGACCTTAGTCCTGTGGAGAACCTGAGGATCCCCAGCAAGGTAAGCTCTTCTTTTATATTATATCATATTAATACTTGTTAATGTCAGAGTAGAATGACCAGATTGGTCAAGACTTACAGGAAGATTAGCGATCTATGCAAGAGAGAATCTTTGAAATCACAACATCTTTAACTGAACCAGGTGTGCTACTGCAGCAGAGGACTCTTGGGTTCATTACTGCAGATGAGCATACTCTTAATCTTAATCTTAAATGCTACATCCTCCTTGAACATTGTTACTAACCACAGTGATGCTTTAAGGGCCATAGTGGACCAATCACCTGCTCCCTGCGTCCAGCACCAAATTGGCCACAAACAAAACACCATCATAGGTTAGGTTTGTGAACATGCTGTTGTCACAGTACAGAAATGACCTCTCCGTGAATCTGACAAACCTGCAACAAATGTGTGTTTTGATTATGTCAATAGAGACTGATGTCTTTAAGGAATTGTGCAAACATCTTTGGTTCTCAAGAAAGTCCTCAAGACATTAGGTTGCTAGCAAAGTGTACCTAATCAAGTGGCCAGTTAATAGAACGTAATCTATAGGAATGCTGTATCTACCAGTTAATGGTCAAACAACAGTATGTGTTATGTTCCGTTCAGTGTCCTGTTTTGTGCTATCCTATGCATCATAGCACAGGTCACATCGCAGCCATAGGTTTTCTTGATAGTAGTGTGTGTAGCAAGTGTGAAGCCTCCCATTTGTATCACTTAGGCACACGTTTCACATCGGTCCTGTCTCTGACGGTGCGAAACATAAACTGCTCCCACAAACCTTGGAAACCTAATCAGTTGTTCTTGGTCATTGAAGTTTGTCATTAGGCATTTGTACACAGTCAGTTTGTCAAGAGCTGACAGAGTGAAGGAGTGCACTCTGTTCACAGTAATATAAAACCCCTTTTATTTTCTTCCCTCTCTATGCACTGCTGGTGCTTTGAATTTCTCCGGTCACAATGACCCTGGACTTCTACTGTATTAATGTTGCTGTGTGGAATTTGAGAGGTGACCTGGTCTGTTTAGTCACAGTGCAGGTTGATTCAGCGAAGCATTCATTTCCTCATTTTCCACAGTACTGTTTTTTTTTTTGCACACTCAGCATTCTTTTAATGCCGCTGTGATGTGGCCATGAACACCTGTTCTTTTTGTGACATATTGGGTTTTTTGCAGGACAACACAAAAATGCTAAAGTGTTTAGGGAGGGAAAAATATATTTTATTTAGAAGTGTGCAGTCTGTTAGCACAAAGGCTAAAAGATAATACTGCTCTGTTTCACCTGGACTTAGAAAAACAACCTTTTAGTCACAAAGATGAAGCTCTGATTAAATAACCAACCATTTAGCAGTAAGTAGTAATTAGAGCCCCAATGGAAGTGGGTGAGGTTGCCTTTTCACAGGACACACACTGCTCCCTGTCTTTCAGATGGATTTAAATTGTTAGTGGACAAACTGGATATTCAATGCTGCCCTTTTGTATTTATATTTTTAACAAACTAAATTTAAATTTTGCAAAATACTGTTTGCTGTATCATGTTCATTTTAGTGTACTAAATGTATTGTTAACTATCTGGATTATTATTTTTTTAATTAGCCCTGTATCTCACATGTGTGCACTACAAACAAGTACGTATTGTGTGTTAAACCAGAACAAGGTGACTATTATTTGAGGTTATTATGTGTTAGCTGTATTTACTTTGCTGCACCACAAAGGAAATAAATAAAACACCCCTATTTATATAAAGATATGAGCTCTGTAGATTACCTTCATTAAACCATAATTTGTATAATATTGTAGTCAGATTGTTGTTTGTGTTACAGTGCACACATTGTTTAAGTATTTCAGCAAATACTGCAAGGTTTTTTGAGCTTTATTTCAAATAACTTTATGGACTTGTTAACTTGCTACTGTTAGAAGTCTTTGAGTGAGAAATACACGTCAACCTTCAAGTCTTTGTGGGGCAAATAATAATAATAATAATAATAAAAATATGGACTAAAGTGCAGTATTCCTTGCGATGGGTGAAACTGTTCTTATTTATACAGTTCTCACTATTTCCAGCAGGGGCCAGTGTTAGTTCATTTTTTGTACCCAGTCTAAAACTGTACATACACAGTGAGTAATAACAGAGGCTGAATGCACTCCTTCATCAATACTTCACATGTACACATTTCCGGTCCATTTTTGTGGACTTCTGTATATGAACATCAAGATGAAGGCTGTGAGATAAACATCTTTACACCTGCCACTGGGTCTGGGGGGTTTCTTGGACAGGATTTCACAACATAATGGCATGCTGAAGACAGGACGTAATTACGTAGCAGAGAGTGAAAATTTTGATGATGGTGAATCTAATCCTGGCTTCTGTTAGCCTACTTAAAGCCTGGAAATGAAAAGATCTATAATATGGATCCATTCCTGTCAGTCTAGTGTGAATTATCTTATTTAAAACTATTATTGATGGGGTTCTTTAATTTTTCTTGATAAACAGAAACCATCCGGATGTAAAATTTGCAGGAGATAAATTACTTGGTTCACCTGAGACAAACAGTTTTGCAAATGTACTGTATTTGAAATTTTGACAGAAGCATGCAGAGCGACACGTATTCCTGCAGCAGCCTACTTTAAAGTACATTATACAGTACGCCACGCCATCATTTCTCAGTAGATTTGTCTCCAGTTACTTTTTTCCTGAGCTTCCGCACCTGCAGGAAACCTTTACTGTATATTGCCTTAAGTTTTCCTGCTGCAGCTTTTTGCCTGTGGTCGGGTAGGCACAGGAAAAACTCCAGGGCTCCAGGGTCAAAGGTGAAGCTAGTACAGGTGAGCACAGTCACTCTGATAAGCAGGTGATTAACACACAGACACTTTTGGTTCCTCTCACTTGCCATACTGTTTGATCGTATTGGAGGGATTCCCTACATTTTAATGCCAGAGATGTGGTGTTTCTATGTAGCATCACCTTGTGGTGAAAACACAAATAACTTCTGGCCATGTGTCTTCAGGTCTCTGTATTAGTTCCTGCTTTTAAATGTGATTAGTTATCTGAATCCTGTTGTCGTCTGTGCTGCTGCCTTGTGATCTTCCTTTAATGCCGTTCTACAAACACAGATTTCTCCTCGATGTCATTAAAAATCTACAGACCTTGAGATCTGAAACCTTCACACGTTATCTTAAAGCCTGGTTGTTATTGCCTTATAACCTATCAACGTTGAATCCCTGTCGTCCAATTAAAATTTCTTGTTGGAATCTAACAGTATAATTACATTGTTCAACTGAACATTTGCTTTTTTTTTCTAGCATCCCAAAGATGACTGCATTGGAACTTGAGGACTTACTGTACACCCAGTTGCAAAGCATACAAATTCAGTTCTGATAACAGCGAGAATGTGGTTTTGATTTGTTCATCTAATGAATGATTCCCTATTGAAGATAATTGGCCCTTGGTCTTATTTTCTGCATCACATCCGTTGCGTCCTCGGTCTCTCAGGATTCTCCTTGAACCTCCCATTTGTATTTTCAGTTCTTTGTGTTGCTGAGAACCTTTGTTGTTTCTGTGCTTGATTTACCAAATTCAATGAGCTCTCCAGATGGATATCTGCTTTGATTTTTTTGTTTTTGAAAAGTCTTGCACTTTGGATACAAAGAGATCTCAAACCTCGGCAACCAGATGAGAAATGTGTTAATTTGTAGAAAAGAGGAACGTCGTCCTTCAAAGTGGGATAAAAGTCTGACACCCGGACATTGTGATTTTTTTTTATTGTTTAAGAAAATTCTTTTTATTCGGCTGGTTTACGCAAATGGAACGTTTTCTTTACAAAAAAGCTGTTTGGTTGAGTCATAACTTGAAGGTTTTTTTTAAAGACATTACACATCTCCAGAGGTAAGCACGTAGTAAAGGGAGGAGAAGTGAAATTCTCTCCACTGCAGTGTCTTCACTCCAACCTCATCATTGTCTTTTTTCCCACTCATTCTTTTTGTCTTTTTTTCTTCTCTGCTTAAACTTTTGCTACCGATGAGTCATCCTCCTCACTCTCTCCCCCCTCCCCTTCTTCACCACCTTCCATTTTCGTTTTCCTTCTCATTTCAGCTCATTTCCCACCCACCCTTTTGATGGCGGAGCGTGATCTACGTGCTCCTGCTGCTACTCCTCCCTTCCAATCATATGCATGCACCCACACATTTCCCCCTGCAGGCTGGAGCTCACTCATTTACCTGGTTTTAACAAAGCAATACATTTGCCTAAAGACGTTCGTCTTCCAAATTCATAGCAGTGTGAAAAAAACAAGTTCAAACTTCAAAGCAGTTATAAATACAATATATACTATGATGCTATACACTATACCATGAAATCTGTCATTTGCACTCGATGAAACTTCTTAGGGACATACCCAATTGGTATAAATTGAAATAAATATTCAAATAATAATAAAAAAAAGAAGACCAAGGTGAATCAAGTGTATAGCTACATTACTGCAGTAAAAACTGCCTTGGAGCTAATAGCCTGTCAGTACACATACTGACCAGATCAAAACACTAAGTGAAGGAGAGAAAGAAAACGGCCTCCTTTCACTCGTCATCTCATGGTCCACAAATAGACAGCCCATAGGCCGAATGTGGACCGTGGGCCCCATTTGAGGACCCACTGCTTCAGAATATGTCTTTGCAGGTGTGCAACTGTTTGAATGAGCATCTGCTGTTGTTGCTGTCGTAAAGTAATTCAAAACTCTGTTTCAGATAACAATTAGATATTCTGTATGATCTGTATGTGCATACAGGAAGTTCGTACTTATCCCATTAATCCACATCTTTACTGGTTCACCGTCTCCGAAAGCCTGTGGTCTATTTTTAGTACTGTCGTACACTGAAGCCTCAACGTATTGATCCAGCAGCAGAAGAAAAAATAACTCTGAGAGGAATTTTACAGAGCACTCTTTCACTTAATGTGAAGAGAGATGATGAAAAAACTGCTTAACCAATTTTCCTGAGCTTTGGTGGGAGGTCTGTAAAAGCCAGAGGAAGAGCTTGTTAAATTTGTGAAGAAATCCATCCAAGAAGTATAAAAATATTATTTTTAGTAACGCCTTTTTAATTTAAATAAATTAAAAAAAAATCAGAAATTGATATTTCTGGTCAGGTGTTATTAGAGTACTATGTTACTCTCTGGACACATCATTGATTTCCTGTACACAGACTATTTTGCTGAATTGTTTGTGTATTTATATAACTGCCTTTACTTAAGGCTTGGAACTCTCACTTAATTTGGATTAGTTCATTAAAAACACGTAAAAACCCCATCCAGTCACACCGCCTCAGTTCCCTGATTCCTCCCTTGTCCTGTTAGAGGCCTAACTCTGATCATACTGCAGTGCAGTTTAGACATGAAGAAATGTTGGTGCTGGTTGTGGAGCCATTTTCTGAGTCCTTGGGCTTTTGTTGCCTTGTCTGTTCCATTGCAAAGTTGTGACTCATGTAATGGCCCTCACTGTTGGAGCGTTCTAGTGATGTGTTCTCCTGAGTATGCTGACTTGCCATCAAACTTTTTTCTAAGAAACCTTTTAGGGAGTCGTCTGCTAAATAGGTGAACATCATGGAGTCTGTAGATGTTTATGTAGGGGGTGGGTATATTTTCTTTAAATATAATATATAAGTCACTTAAACCTCAAGAGTTAATCCGGCAGAAAGAACAAAGACAATGTTTTTTTAAATCGTGTGTTTGATTGGCCGACATGCAGTCCAGATTAGATATGAGCAGCTCAATATGTGCAAAAGTTGAATTTGAAAAACACTCTAATTATTTTTTTTTCTTTTACCAACAGAATAAACACGTGACTTAAAGGAAAAACTGAGGGATTAGGTTACATTTAGTTGAAAACACTGAGACTCATTCCTTTGACCTTTTGTTTAATGAATTAAGCTTCAACTGCAGCGCTGTGTGTTTAAAAAAAAAAAAAAAAAACCCTCAGCACCTTCTCCTGCTTCTTTGCTGCTAACCCAGTCACCATTTTCTTTACTATTCACGTGTGACTCCTTCCAGGCTCATTAAGGCAGCCAGGAAGGGTTTGTGTGGGTTTTAAGGCCTTCATCTAAAAGATTTACTTCAATAATCCTAGATGGATGGAGTGCATGTTAATCAATAGGGCTTTAAGGTTGCTCAAAGGAAGCTTTGGAGAGAATTCTCTGTTGAAAACTTTTAGCCATTCTTTTTTTTTTATTCTCCCCACTCCCTGCAAACACTGCGTGCTTTCCCCATGGTATCAGTCCAGTGAAACTAACTGCTGTCTCCGGCCGAACTCCACGATTGATGTTTTCCACTCAGCCTCTTTCCCACTGCACACCTCCTCTCGCCTCCTTCTAAGCCTTTGTCCTTTAGTTCATTTTTTCTGTCCTCTCCTCACCTTCACCCTTTTCTCTGCTCTTAAACTCCTCCACTACTCCATTACTCTCCTCCCTTCCTTAACTGTTCCTTTCACCTGTTTTTTTTCTCCTAAATGCTTCCACAACTTCCTTTGTTTTGTTTGTATCTTTTAGGAAATTGCAAAATTCTATATACTTTTAACTAATGCCTCAGTTTGCACAGCACCTCCTAAAGTGTGGAATAAAAATGTTTTCAAAAAGATCTTTCTTCAGTCCATCTGTCTGACTCACTCTCTTTCAGGAGGAGTTGCGGGAGCTGAGGGAGCATTCCAGTGACCCCCTGGCAGAGCAGGAGATCATCAACAGCATTGAGGAGATCTACTTCTCTAACGACTCCTTTGACATGGTGCAGCATGAACTGGAGGTCAGAGTCTGGCTGTATGAATGAGCAAACACCGCTAACTGACTGAGTGAACTCCATCCACCTGTAAATCTATGACAGCAGCTTTACTCCTGAGTTTACTCCTCGCCCACTTAAAAAAAAAAAAAACAAATCTGAAAACAACAGCTCTACTTTAATAAATGTGTGGTTTCCCACTCTCTGGAGCTCAACTGACTGACAGCATTAAAGCTCTTTCTCACCTGAGTTGCTGTCTCATACACTTCTGCTGAGCTGCATGCAGTCTGTTGACGCCCGGATTGATGGATTGCATCCTCTCGACAGAAGAAGGGTGTGAAATCTCATTAGATTTATCTTGGGTTTGCTACACCATCTGAAATGAGACTCTCAGTCAAGGGGAAAGTAATTACCTATCATCCTTTGGGCCCTGGATTCATAATATCTCCCTCTCCCAGCGAAGTTTGCTTTCTGTTTACCAAACAATATCGCCACAAAAAAAAAAAAAAAAAAAAAAATTAATGACATGCTTTTTTTGTATTAATTTGTCAAGATCCTTTTGTTTTTCGATGGAGAGAGTGAGAAGCTAAAAGGCTAAGGAGTACAGAGATACTCTCAGAGGAGAAAGGAAGTCCCTGCTATGGCTCGGAGCACAGTAACATGAACGCCGCCACAGTTCTACTTTAAATATTTTTGTGTCTGACTCTCAAACCGAGCGGTAGGCAGACGCGCACCAGTGTCTGACGGAGTGTGTTTGTGTGTATGTGGCAACAAATGACTCGGGTGCTCTCAGCTGTGGAAGTGGATTGTAGTAAACAAAACAAAAAAAAAACATAAGATTTTGTCTTTCTGTGTGTGTGTGATTATAGAAGCTCCCACCTGAGCTGAACCTGCAGGAGCTGGAGGATTACAGAGACAAGCTAAAGAGACAACAGGCAGCTGTATGTATCACTTATCTACTCTCTCCCTCCTTTTGTCTGTCTTTCTCCCCTCGCACTCTCTCTCACACACACACACACTTACACATTTTGAGTGAAGTGAAAAGTATTATGTTTCTCTATATTTTCCATTATTTTCTAGTGCCTTAGCGTCAACCTATCAACCTATTCCTCACCATTGATGTTGCAGCAACATCTTAATAACGCTCTTTCTGAAAAACACAAATGTTTCTGAGTTGGCAGATCCCTCTCCAACATCCTTGGACATGTACAGCTGTAATAGTATTAACCAGAGAGTGTTGAATGTTTGCAGTCACATCTTGTCTCAGTTTTTCTTTTTCTTATTTTCAAGCATGTCTTCACAGAACTGTTTTAATGCAACCCTCCGAGACTGACATTTTTGAACCATGTTTTGCCTGTAAGTAGTTTTTGTGAGAGGCCGTCATTTCACTCTGGAGTGTGCATGAGACCCGATGGAAACACACTCGTCAGACAATGGCACACACTCTTCTCAGAGATTTTGCCTCTTGCTTGATTGTCTCTAGCAGTAAACCAGATTGTCAGAAAACTGTTATGGCTCAGACGTATCGACTCTCGCAGGTCAAATAAAGGCAATTTTGTGCACAAAGAAATGGAATGCATCAAGTTTGGTCAGACATTTAAACATAACAGTGGCACAAAGGGCAAAACTTTATGCAGTTTGACCAACAATAATGGATTTGACAGTAATTTGACTGTTGTTGGTCTGAAGGGCACAAACCGTTTCTAATGGATTATCAAAGTTTAGCAGTAAATGATAGACAGAGGAGGGAGGATTTCTAGCCTGCTGGTCTCATGATGGACAGACCTCCTGTGAACAGTGGGGCACTTCAGAGTCTCGGCCTCAACATACTCCTCTGGACAAACAGAGCACTTGAGCTGGAAATGTTGTCCATGATGGAGAAGAGTTTTGATGACACACTCCTCCTTGTCACTGTATGGTGCCCAGTATCTGGTGATTTGGAGGACTTCAAGCACCTACGGCAGGAACATTTGCTCTGCGGCTGTCATTGTGAGTTCAGTCAGGTAGCTGCCATTTCAAACTGGAGAGACAGCATGTCAACAAGCTCTATTTATAGAGACACATGGGACAGAAAGGCCTTTTAGTGCCCAAAGTCCACCGCAGTCTGCCCTCCCACCTTCCTATGTGCAGTGTAATGACACACGTGCCATTTTCTTTGCCGTAGTCTGCCGGGGCAGGCGCACTGAATGACAAGGACTCAGAGTCTGGACATGCCGGTCAGAGAGGTTGGCTGCATGCCGACAAATCAAGGGCTCATCTCGTTGGACTGCTGCAAAGAACTGGTCAGGAGTTCATTTGTCCAGGCGGCAGGGAGGATTTCTAACACTGACGATATATCCTATGTCACCGCCAATGTACTTTTGTTTAGCACAACACTGATTATTAACTTGTAATTTCATCACAAAAGCTAACTGCATATCATAAAAGAACACATTTTTTATTTACTTTTTTTAAAGAGTAAAATCATCATTCATTAACTGTAACATTAACCTTATAGGAACAACAGTAGTAGTATTACTTTGCCTATGTCTATTTCTAAATCTATAAATCAATCTCTGTACATCTGCATTCCTGTATAATACCATAGGATATAATTCTATACATATATAATATACAGTTCTTTTCTATTCTATTGTTTCTTCTGTCAGGCTTCTGAACTTTTCACGTTCACCTCCTCTCATACTTTAACCTTTACTGTAAATGCCATTTTCCCTGTACCTACCCCTTCATTTTACATGTTTGGAAGTTTCCCGCCGAGCTGTCTACTGAGCTGAGGAGGTGCTCGAGGCCTACAAGAAAGTGCTCAAACGTTCCCTCTCATACCTGCGGCCTGCCTGCCTGTCTCATCTCCTCTCTCTGGCTGTGAGCCTGCAGGCAGCGTGTGGGGAACAGCCATAGTAATTGGTCCACTGTGCTATCAGGCAGAAAATTCACTCCCATGTTTTCCAGCAGGCTTATCAATGCAAGCCAGCAATCCTAAGTCTATATGAGCGAACCCTGCGTCTGTTTGTCTTCCTGATTTCCCTAAGGCTTGAGTAAAATATCTTCAGCATGCTTCTTTTTCTATTTGTTTTGATTTCAAGCTAATGTGCTAATGATAGTCATGGCCAGAGGAATTATGTTCTCTATCCATCATGGTCATCGCGCTTATCTTCAGTGGAAATTTACAATAAATCACCATTCATCAGTTACAACTTGGACAAGAAAGTTGCACTTTCTTATTAGAAAATACAGAAGTTTTTGATAAAATTCAGACAATATTTTTTAGGTTTTTTTTTTACTGTATTTTAAATCTTACAAAACCATGCAAAATTCCACTAAATGTATATGCAAACTAAGGCCCAGGGGCCGATGTGGACCGTTAAGCTTTAACCTCCAAATTGTATAATGTATTTATATTATCATTATACTTCTGCCTTTTCCCTGCAACACTTACGTTTCCCCAATAGATGGCGTAGAAAATGATAAAAGCATTTTACCATTTAGCCTTTATGCAGGACTTTTATCTTAATTCACAGGAACGCTCCATCTATCTGCCCCTGACCTGGCCCCCCTGTTCAATTTTAGGACAATTGTGGCCTGCAAGTCAAAAAGTTTGCCCACGACTGCAATAAAACACAAAGGTTTTCTAGTTTCAAATTACTTATACTTTACTTACTCAGCGTGAAACCTGGACCTGTTTAGAATCACCGTCACTGACTGCATAGCGATGAGCTTTTACTATGATCATTTGTGTGGTAATGACTTTGTTTTGGTTGACAAAACCAGTATCAGAGTATCTTGCTGTTTCTAATTCAAGGTGCATCGTTGCAGGAGGGCAGTTATAAATACCCCCCCCCCCCCCCCTGCCCTCTCGTAGAAACACGTACACAGAGTTTCTACGTTCCTGCTGTCTTAAATAGAGGGTGCAAGTGTTATTTGGATTATTTCATTCCCACTGTGAGGCTGTCTCCAGGCAGATGTTGTGGGATGCCACCACACACCGACCTGCTGACAGATTAAAGCTGATTCACATACAGCATTAGTGGTAAGGTGGCTGGACCATTTGAAACGTATTTACCGTTCCCATTATTTATCCCTCTTTTCCCTCTGTATTTCTGCTGGTATTCTTTTTCCCCTTCTTCTCTTTATCGTTTGATCTGTTGTGGGGAAGAACGAGTTTCCCTGGCATTGGCTTGGAGAACAACTGCCCCGTTTCTCTGCCTCAGTGTCCAGGCCTAATTGGCACGTCAGACACTGGCAGGGGTTCATCTCTGTACTAATTGCCTTTTTGAGCTGCTAGACTACTACCCATGAGAAAAATGTCAGGGTTCAGAGACAGTTTGTGTGTGTGTGTGTGTGTGTGTTTGTGTTGCCGTAATTATTCCCACATCAACACAGAAATGTGAGGAAGTGGAAATTACTGCCCATCATTACATTTTCATCAGCTGATTTCCTCGTCTGATGCCAGATCTGCTGTTAAAAAGGACATCTAATCCAGACGTTTTCATTTAAATACTTCACCCAGATCCTTTCTGAGAGTCTACACTATACCCAAAAAATAAAAAATTGTAAGTTAGAGTATTACCAAATATTGACTTAATATGGCATATAATAATAATAATTATTATTATTATCAGGATATTGATCACAGTAGTTTTACACATCAGCATATTGTGAAATAGTGACCTCTCCCTACAAACACAGTGAATGTTGTGCTGTGATCCATTGGCTCTGCAGTCACAGTAGAAGTGTGGCCAACACTCCTAGATCTGCTCTGTCTCAGTCCCTGCATTCCTAAATCAGAAGGAATGACCTTCACCGTCTCTTGCCTGCGTGCTTGCCGCTCGTCGCTGTTACTAATGACTAATGAGTATTAGCTAATTAAGCCCTAATTACCTTCTACATCACAGCAATCACCTGCAGGAATCCTCAAACATGTGCCCTAGTGGTATGACAGACCTAACACTGACTGCCTGTTTATCTAAAATGCTCAGAATGAGGAACATGTTCCGTCAGAGTGAGTGTCGGTGACATTCATCAGATTTTTCTGGTCTTGTATATGTGTTTCTGTGTCATCCACACCGTTCCCACAACACAAACACACAATTATTGACTCTTTTTTTAGTAAGTTTTGACCTTTAAGTTTGTAGTTTTGTTGTAGATCAACGATCAGATCAATCTTTATTGATCTTCTGTATTTTGTGGCTCCTTCCTTTTCCTTCAGCTGGTGGACACACGGCTGTTCATAATAAGGTGCTGCTTCAACACGTTCTAATTATAGTTTCATCTCAGTCGTGAGCCAACGGGGCTAAAAAGCACCAAGGACGGAGTGAAATTCACAAAACTCCACTGAAACCTTGACAGATGCAGAAACTTTTCAGAAAGAAACGGGAATGATGAGATTGAAGAAGACGTTTAAAGAAATGAACCTGAGACAGAGAGAGAGACGCACTGTGAAAGGTTTATGGTTGTATTGCACTTTGGACGCAGACATCATTGATTGTTATTCCTGCTCGGCCCACCATAGAGAGATTAAACTGCCCAGTTTTTGTGGGCTGACATTTTGGAACAGCATCAAAACGTCTCTTTTCTATTTTATGCTTTTGTTCTGGCAACAGCTGTAGCCCGAAGATTAATGTTTCCCCGTTGTCTTCATGCCCCACTCTTGTGAATATGATATTTTTGGAACACCTTGATAGAATTTCTCCACATTTGGCACAAATGTTCACACCCAACCAAATATGTAGTGATCAGATTTTCTCGGTCAAAGGTCACGTTGACTTCACACGTACGTGGTTTTTGTCCTGTGGAAAATTCATTTACGCCTGGCCAAAATGATGAGCTGTATCAAATGTGCTGATCTGATGTCAAGGTAACTGTGACCTCACAAAACACATTTGGGTCATAATTTAAAAACCCGTAGCTAATACGATGACAAGGTGGTAATTCAAGTTTAATTTAATGTTCAAATCCTTCTTTTTTTTTTTAGGTTTCTAAAAAGGTGGCAGATCTCATCCTGGAGAAACAACCGTCTTATGTCAAGGTAAGCTTTGAAGGTCACCTTTTGACCTACGTTTTTGGTAAAAATTGGATTTTCTCACTCTTAAATCAACGCCTAAAGATGTTTTTTCCTCCAGCTTGAACATTTAACCTGGATCAATAAAAAAAGGTCCTCCGCTGATTTAAAACTTTCCCTCTCCATTATGGACACAGTTTAGACTTCTGTGTGGACAAACTTCTTGACCCTAAGACCTACCTAGAGACAGATTGCCTTGTGGGACTCTGAGTTGTAATGAATTAGCAGCAGATAGACCTGGGCTGAATCAAAAGAATAGAGTTGGACTTGTAGTCAATTATTTCCAATTGGAAACACTAACACAGCAGGGTTCCTGCAGCAGACTGTGTTTTCAGCCTTCTCTTTGGGACAAAGGTCAGTAATTGGTTTAACCTTGCAGCCTGCACCTGTCAGTTACCTAGTTATCTGGTAAATTTGTAGTTACTGCGGTGAAATGAGGCAGAATTATGTACTCTAAAAGCTGTCTGTGCAACTTAGAAAGACTACTTCAACTAATGAATTAATTAATGTTGTTTTGGTGATTACAAATGATAATTCTATTTGCAATAAATATTGTAGGCTAAATTCTTTCTTAATAAATGTATTTGTGATGGTGACATAACCATGGAAACGGGAGACGTGTGTCTGTGGTAGGAATTAGGAACTACACCGAGGAGCTTTTTTGTCAATAGACAAAAATCATAAAAAAGTTGGTCAACAGTTGGTTGGCAAATGGAAATTGTTGATGTTGAACGCTCATCACCTTTGATGTTGTTGTTGTTTGTGACATGGCGATAATGAATTTCATCACACGTGTTCTGTTGGTACAAAGTCGCTTCATGCCTCTCACAGTGTTACCAATGCAATTTTTGACGAGCAAAAGATCCTCATTCAGAGGGAAACATCACAGAACTGCAAGAATGGGATCAAAGATCAGGCATTTCCCACGTTGGGTGCAGCATCTTCCAGATGATAAAAATAACAACGCCAAGAGGATGAGAGGAGTCAGGTCTTTGCCTGGGGGTGTACTTGTTCTCTGCAGAGGTCATGGATGGGGCCGCACAACTCGCCAGAGCAGAGTGTACATTTATTTAAAACGCCAAAGCTAATTAGGGAAGGTTGTCTTTGATTTTCAAAGTTTCTCCTTCAGCCGACGAACACTTCAGCAATAATGACTCATGCCTCATTGCAACAATCTATAATATCTCCCATCATCTGATGCAGTCAGCGGGAAGCCTCTTGCACAAGAAAGCTCTGATATAGACGTGTATAAACAAGCCTGGTTTTGATGCAGTGATTTACTGGGCAGATGGCAGTTTGAGAAACAAACCGCCGCGTCGCAAATGAACCGTTACAGTTTAAGTGCCTGAAAGATAGAACTTGAACAAAGTTTGCATCTGTCTGATATTTCACATCCTATTTTTAGCCTTTTGAAGGAAACATGAAACTCTTCCAGTTTTTACTTACGCTGACATTTTTCCACAGGAACTGGAGAGAGTGACAGCGTTGCAGTCCAACCTGCAGCTGGCAGCGGTCATTTGCACTAACGCGCGGAGGTAATGGACTTCCATTATGTATGCTATCTATTCACAGACAGAAATGGCTTCTCGCGTAGCACGTTCAAAACGTTTTTGCTGTTCTGTGTTTATTCTTCCTCTAATAACTTTGTCAAAATGAGAAACGATTGTGTGTTTTCCTTTGAGACAACGTATCTGTCAAAGTCCTGCGTGTGTTCATGACAGGTCTTGTACTATATCATGACCACATTTGTAATATGTAAATAATTAAAAGAAAATCAGATGCAGCACAGTAAATGGACAGAACTACTTATTATGTATACGCTGATGGATTCCTTCTTCTGTGATCTGAAATCCAGACAGCTGAGTGTAGCCAAGGAAGGATTCACTGAGGCCAGTCTGGGTTTACTGGCCAATCAGAGGAGGCGACACCTGCTGACGGGCCTGTTGAAATCTCTGAGAACCATAAAGACACTGGTAAGATTTACACACAAATGGCAGAACATCTAATGCAACATCTGTTTTGTTTTTGCACAAGAAAAACAAAGGATTCAGGTCAAGAGTATGTCATTATATTACATAATATTTTATATGATTAAAAATTAGTTTCTTTCAATTTAAACAGTTGACCTTTGACCTGTAGTTTCTTGTCTCTTCTTCACTGTCTTGCCGCAAAGGTAGTCAAAACAAAGGTTTTAGTTATTAATAACCACCAATATATTTTAACATAAGAACCGCAGCTAACAAATCATTATTTTTAACATAAGCTCCAACCAAAAAAATAAATTCTGACTGACTTTTGGAAAACTATGTGATTAATTTCAGTGACATTCAAATTCATTTACAGTCTATACATTAAATGTACAAACACCCTGAAATGTTTCTTTGTTAGTATAGTAAACATTCTATTCTCATTCTGGGGTCATCGTATTGAACACTGAAGTCTGTGATATCTTACTGATTCATCTAACCTTGGTCTTTTCCCAATACAGCAAAGAACAGACGTGAGGCTCTGTGAAATGCTCGAGGTACTGTTACACCCACTACATACACACACACACACACACACACACACACACACAGCCAGACACATAAAAAGATATGTTTGTAATTGATTTTGAAAGGAAGAAAATCAATATTGTTTGTGCGATAAAACCTGCACTCAAACACACACGCTGTTCACATCTTTGCTAGAACATCTGCTGTGAAAGTCAGCTGTGACACAGAATGGATTTTCTTTTTTTTTTTTTGGTGATACTTGGTTGTGTGCAGGGTATTTCTATGGTGTCATATCTAAAATGATCCCTGGATCTAAAAACAGCACATAATAAAAAGCTATGCAATTTAATGAGATTTCCTTTGATGCTGTGCTCATACAATGGTCTTTTTATTATTCTCTACACTAAGGCCTGCTTTCTTTTCAGAATAAACCAAGTGACCTCATTTCTTTGTTTTGGTAGGAGGAAGATTATCCAGGTGCGATCCAGCTCTGCCTGGAATGTCAGAAGGCTGCCAGCACCTTCAAACACTACAGCTGCATCAGGTACAGTATGAGCTGCCATGTATAATACTGATGCATTTGGACCCGTCAGGTTTATTGTGACTAAAATGGAAAGTGTCTAATGCTGGATATTTTCTGCTAAAAGCGTTTCCATGATGGAGAACTTAGCCGCAACAGTATCATTTTTCAATCTGTTCGGAGTTGACCCAGAAGTCAGTCATAGGACATGGGGGTACATCAAGAGATTCTAAAAAAAACCTAAATCTTTATTTATAAAAATGCATACATGTATTTCTTCTATTTAAATATAAACCCAACTGCAATCATGGCTTGCATCTGAGCATTCTTTTTGTGGAATTCTAGGGGATGGTTTTTTTTTGTACACCAGGTCACAACCAGTTTCTTTGAAACCTAGTACCTCAGAGGGTCTGTTGCCTACCACGTTTCTCCCCAGTTTTTCCACATTTATGAAAGTGACAGCCCTAATAACTTGGTTCATTTGTGTCAACGGTTGAGTGCTTGACTGCTATTTTGGAAAAAAATAATTATGGTGCGATCAACGATGCATGTTATCACCGTCCTCCTACTTCCTCTTACGACACTTTATATATTCACTACTACGAGATAAAAAGGGAGAAAAATGTCAGTGCCTGAAACAAGTGCTGATCACAGAGACGCACGTACTGGAAGTGCCTGTACCCTGACGTCAGCACTGCCTTCCTGCTGGTCTCCTGCCCTTTCATTTGACCTTGGAACTTTGACCCTGTCATTTTCCATGTGCTCGCTGTAGTGCTCCTTCACCTCCTCAGACCCTTTCAGGTAGTCATGGTCAGGGGTTGGCCCAGAGTGTTAACAAAATGTTGTGTCTGCTGTGATTAAAGGTTAAAAACCTGGAGTTCCAGCCTGGAGCTCCTCTGTAACATTTTCACAGTAGTTTCAGAAACAATGCGTCGGCTATAACGTGACACTGTTGTTGTAATCATGTTAAATAATACCATTATATAAGAACGGGCTTCTTTATACACCATAATAATCAACACAAAACACATTCGTTTTCTGAGTGTTTGCTTTAGTTAGTTTTGAGCTGTTTTGAGCTGGACTTCCTCCAGCTCAAAACAGGCTGTTGTGTTTAGTTGTCCTTCAGAGAACCTCTTCAGCCGACTGTTATTTCAGCGTTAAGTGTCATAGCTTGTTTGAGTATTTGATCTGAAGTACAGAATACATCAGGAGCAGAGGCCATGTTAATAATATCTGTGGAGTGGATTATTCTTCCTGTTTATTCTATTCATCAAGACACTGCAAGTTATTGCACAAGGTCAGTTATTTTCTTTATGAAACCTGGATGTTGTCTTACTTGATGATATGGTTGCATTATACTGTTATTTTTTGTTTCACTCATAATTCTAGCCACCTACAGCAGGTCAACTTTTAATGTTGTATAACCACTTCTGTCAGTGCAATCTGTTGTCGAGGAAACCAAAAAGTGCATCTTCATCCGTTGTCATCATATTTCCTCCCCTGTCCCCTTTTCACTGGCTTAATTGTGCCGTCTGTTGACCATTCTTGCTGCGTGTCATTCTTTGAAGCCCTGCCTCTGCTAAATTGTTGACTCTCTTGTCTCGTAAAAACAACTGCAGCAAAAAGCAAAAAGCATTGTTCTTGCAAAGGGCGAGCGTTAAGCTGACCCTCGAAGGAAAGCGCGCATGGATTATTTAGTGAGTCAGCAAGTCTCCGTTGAGAGACGCCCCTCCAGGCGCAGTGGACAGCTATCGCCGGTGATAATTGAACGTAGGATGCAAAAAAATTCCCTTCATGACTTCCGTATAACTCTATTTCAATCCTCCCGTGCCCTGCAGGGAACAGATTGTTAATTAGGTTTTTCCTCCTCATCTGGTATGTATGTATTCTATCAGATCCCACAGAGGTGTTGCTGGATAGGCATCTACTGTACGTTCACGGTTTGGACGTTGTCATTGAGTCTATGTAGCTCTGCACAATGACAGCAGGACCCTAAATGATAGCCTGAAGAACAGAACTAAATATATTAGTTTACCAGGGCAACAGAGTGAGAACATTGTCTTTTTCTGCTTCACTTATTCCATCCATCCTTGACGTCGCTTTGAAGCAATTCCACCAACTCAGTATGCAGGCGAATGTTGATGCCATTTGGAATATATCAGATGTTGTGTGCAAGGGAGAATCATATCACCCAAAGAACACCCTCCGCTCTGTTAAACATTCTCATTGTACTGTATGCTTTTTTGCATTAAAGGTAAAGAAAATGTTTTAATTTGTAAAAATTGTATTTTATCAAGGAAAAATGTACCTGACCTGACTATTGGTCGGGTTTGAAAAAAGCCCTAAATAATATTCCATTGGTTTGTGACGTGAACTGCAGACCACAGCGTCAGTGATCAATGACAGAGGATCTACTTTTAAAGTGTTAACTGTTTCCACGACGACAAAACTACTGAATTCAGAGAATTATGATTCCTGACCTGTACATGTTCCAATATCACAAAACCAGAGTTCAGAATCAGACTGTTCATTTCCTGACCTGTTGTCCTGACACCTGAGGGGCTGCGACTGTGTTCTCCTCTCCCTGTTCCTAATTGAGGCGTAGAAGCTTAATTAGTTATTTATTAAAGACCTTCCTATCTTTGTGAGCTGTGCTCACAAAAGGCACAACACAAAAGTGGAATGACCTGAAAAAGACCCTGAGCAGAGGCAGAGCAGAGGCAAGGGGGAACCGTGGGACTGAGTGATGATGTGTAGGTGCGTTCGGGGGGCGGAGGGTGGGGGGGGGGGTAACAAGGGAATTAAATTGGTGTCTTGGGAGGAGAACAGTAGTTGAAACTTAAAAAATCTGCCTCAGGCATGTGTTGTTGTTTTGTGTCTTGAACCATGTGGAATAGATAGAGTTACACAAACACCAACACATGCAGGTTAATACAGGGTTTTTAGCAACAAACTTGAAAAAGGCTCTTGTTGCCAAAGTTACTCTTTGGAAAAGAGTTTTTGTATAAGAAACAGACATGAATTATTGTTTATTTTGAGTGGCTAAAGTGATGAATGTCTGTCCTGTGGCAACAGACTGGTACAATTGATAACTGTTCTTTGTAATTAAGTATTATCATTTCAATCTACTCTCTAATAGGATTTTGTTAATCCTGATTGGCTGTTTATTATTGCACACAATGTAATTGGTCATAGTATTGTGTCAACGTAGGTTTCGTTTGATTTTTCCCTCTGAAAAAGCAGACAAAACACGCAATAAAAAAGATAAAAGTTGTCTGACTAATATATATTTTAGGGCGTCATAATTAGTTAGGGAGAAATAATTTCACTTTCATAATTTAATGATAAGAGATGCAGCTGTTTTTCTGGTAAAAAAGAACATTTGTGGTTTCTTTTTATGAAGGTTATTTGTAGGTTCATTGATTGTCATTCATAATAGATTTTGATTGAGAGTAAAGCCTCACGGTTCAATTCTTATCCTCAACGTGATTGTAAAAAAAAGTTTTGTGATTGCAGATTGTGATGAAGAAATGAGAAACTGAACATTTCTAATCTCTCCCACAGTGAATTGAATTCCAAACTGCAGGACACTCTGGAGCAAATTGAGGTATGTGCTCCTTGGCTTTATCTCTAACTCCATTATTCAACAGTGATATTATTAAAGGGGCCTTTTAGCAGTCGGCCATATTCAGCTCTAACATTGTTATTTTCCAGAAACCGGTTTCTGAAAGAAGCAATTTATACTTTATTTTGACTTAATTTTTTTAAAAAAGTTTATCATTCCTCGTCTGCCAGTTATTGACACATTCACAGAGTCATTATTGTAAATTATCTGCGGCTCATCTAAAGGCTGCCGCTGTGATACTATGTGATGAATGATATGCAAAGCAATTTCTCTGCAACGCTGCCCTCGCGTTTGAGCAGATTAATTACTTGCACTGTTGTTGTTATAGAGAAACGGGCGGTCACTTGTGCACACTTGCATGGCCGTTGCTCCAAGATGGTTGTTTGTTTACCTGTCAGCACCGGTTTGAAAGAGTGCAGATTGATTTCTCTGATTTGTTGTCCGGCACACACAAACCCTGTGCTCTTTCATTTGTGTGAAAGCTTTGAGTTTCTTCTCATAAAATTATGTTATTGTAAATGAAAAAATATATATATATATAATCGGATCGGATTATTTGCTGGAAAAGCCCAGAGATATCGCTGCATCAAGTCAGTGTAACTCAAGCATGTCACATTTAACAAAAATTGAATTACTTTTCCTTTGAAGACTTGTTACGACTGAATTCCAAAAACATCAAATAATTATGTTAATCAAAAATGTGATTTTTATGTAATCTCATTTGAGTGTCTGGCCCCAAAGGCGTATGTCCAGAAAGGGCCCCCAGAACAAAGCATTTGACTGAAATAACGACAAATACACACTTCTTCTGACTCTGGGGACTTTCACCATCTTACTTCATCCTCTCGTGTGGTTGTTCGTGTCTGCAGCAGGTCCACGGCAGCGTGAGAAAACTGCTGGTGATGTCGGCTGTTTGATCACTTGGCCTTTGTCAGTTCTCTGCTCTGAGCTGGGCTTAACGTGTCAGGGTTGTTAACACGTCCCTGTACTTCCTAACTTCATTCCTACATCTGTCTCCCTCACCTCTGCTCGACCTTTGCCTAAGATCTACATACACACACAACGCTCACGCTCACACTCTTAGCCCTGTGATGAAGATGTACATTTTCACAATAATCCGTGGCCTCAGCAGTCATAATCCCTTTTGTTTTTCCTTCACCCGCTCACTCTGCCACTTTTTTCCCCTCCTTTGTCCTCCATCTGTTTATGGTTCCAGGAGCAGCTCGACGTAGCCTTGTCCAAGACCTGTAAGCACTTTGATGTTTTGCACTACACCAAGGTCCAGCTGGCCTACACACTCCTGGGCAAGACACAGGTCAGTAGCTGGACCCCACCGGGTCCTGGTGTGATTAATGGCTTTAACCAAGTGGATCATATGGTTGACTTGTTATATAAATATTTTCTACTATTCATTGTTAAAAAAAAAAAAAATATATATATATATATATATGTCTGTGTGTATTTTTCTCTATTCATTTTTATGAGCAATTTTGTGTGTATTTTCCCCCCGACCAATAATTAATTTTAATTCTATTCAATTAAATTATATTATATTAAAGTTAATTGTGAAACTAATTTCCATATACGGGCCATTACTGTTCCAATGAGGATTTAATATATTCAATTTTCTTATCTTCTCCCTTTTCTTTACTTCAGTGAATAGATTGTGTTTTTTGGTCATTACCTAACTGTCAATCAACCACCAGACAGAGAACATTTTATCCTTGAAATAATCCTTGTAAAGCAAAATAATCAGTCAGAAAAAAAGGCACAATTAAGGAGGGAGTTTTTTGGTGTCATTTCTGTATTGTCTGCAGTTAATTTGAAAAACACAGACATGACTGAAGTTGTTTGTTGCTTGGTTTTTTTATCTGTTCTTCGGCAAATCCCTTTCCTAATTCTTTTTAGTCTGTTATTTTTACATATTTAAATAAGAAAAAAACATAAATAAACTTTAAGTTTCTCCACTTTATTTATTCAGAGGTTTTGACAATATTTTATATACTGTCAGTTAGTATCAAATAGTAAAATACCACATTGTCCCTATGATATGTGTATGTATGATAGTAATAGTAGCAGTAGCAATACATATATTAAATGTAGTATTGCTAAGGGTGGTTGTCTTACAAATTGTACTTCTACGTATTGCTAAGAGTGGTTGTCTTACAAATTGTACTTCTACTAATGAGGAAGTGGCAGTAGTTCTTGTAAGAGCTGTAGCGATACATTAATTGAAGTAGCATTGCTTACAGTCATAGCATCAGAAGCAGTATTTGTAATAGAAGCAGTAGCAGTAAAGTAGTTGTGGTAGTAGCAGCCATATGTCAGTGGTACCTGTAGTACCAGTAATTCTAGCAGGAAAGGTTGTAGTTGCAGGAGCGTTGCATCAGTTGCAGAACCATTAGCCGTAGTTCTGTTAGCAGAAGCCTTGTTGTAGCGTTAGCGGTGGAGCAGCTGTTGTTTCTTTTCCTGCCCATTGTTTTTTGTGGATGTTTGTGAACAGATTGCAGTAGAGATGAAGTAGGCAGTACGAAATGTTGAAATTATTTTGGTGACTTTTTACTTGCCCCTGTGGGACTTTGTTCAATAACACCCTCCCTGAGGTCCCACAGCAAGGCTGTGCGTGGGAGCTGCAAAACAGAAAATGATACTAAATGCAACTTGACATTTAAAAGAGTGGAGGAATCAGCTTGGGAATGCACAAATGGAGCACAGTGAGTTCAGTGTGCACAATGAACTCCACATTTTTTGTTAAGGCATGGTTCGGGGACATTTTTGAGCTTAATTACAAAAAAAAATCCCTGATTGTGAATGATTAACGATGATGTGTTGGAAATAGAAGGAGCGTCTTCAGTGCCATTAGTAGATTCATATTTCAAGAAGATTTCAGAATTATTTTGCAATTTTGTATTTGAAAGTTTAATGCTTAAGTAAAGTGTCCGGTTACCCTAGTTTTAGCCAACAATGTTGTAAGGACAAGGCATACTAATGGACATTTCCATTTAAATATGCATGAATTTACTCTAGAGCTTTTTAAATTCTAACAATGTCCAATGCACATGTCCATTTTCACAGGTCTCTGGTTGATCGCTAACATTTCAATGTCATTTGGTTGTTTTTGTAGTGTAACGTGGTGATTCTGTTGGCTTTCTCTGCAGACTGCAATGGATCAACTGCACATGCACTTCACCCAGGCCATACACAACACTGTTTTCCAAGTGGTGCTGGGATATGTGGAGCTGTGTGCGGGGAACGCTGACACAAAGTTCCAGAAGATGCAATACAAAGACTTGTGCACGGTGAGGAGACGGACATTTACCCATGACCACCTTCTGTCTGTACATACCACCTCAAAAATTAAAGTAGTTTGTCTTCTGTGTGGGCACCGTTGTAGCCACTGATGGTGAATCACAGTCGAAGAGTCACAGTTTTCTTAGTCATTAAAATGCTCCTCACTCTCAGTGGCTTTTTAGGGACTGTACGAACTATTATTTCTGCGATCTGTCAGTAAAATAACAATAAAAAAAAAAAAAAGAGTCCTGCGACAGGAGCTGTTTTAAATCAGTCAGCCAGCAGGGGAAATCACTCACCGACGCTGCCTGCTCCTTGAACACTCTCTCATGAATTCTCACTTGCTGCAGCAGAAGTGCCTTGCTCAGAGGATGTGCTAATGTTGTGGTACTGAAACTTATTTAGCTGTTGATCCCCTGATCAATGAAGGTCACACTCTGGTGAGATGCAGTTTAGAACCCTCCAAATGTGAGTCTCGGTGATGGGACTTAACATTCAGGGGTGAGGAACAAAATTCCAAAAGGTCAGTTGTGATTATGAAAAGGTCTGATTAATTTTACACCAGTATCTCATCATTATTGGCATCAGCTCTCATTCCTTTGTGGGAGGGGAGGGGTCGGGGGTCAGTGCTATCTTTCCATCTCTTTCCAACACTGCAGTTCATCATTTGTTGTCTGTCAAAAGGAAGAACAGAAACTTTTATTGGGACTTAACCTTCTCTCTTCTTTGTTAATCCATTTGTCCAGATGGTAATAGGGAAATATGTCATAAGGATAATGATATCAAACCACTGCTCATTTGTAACCCATAGAGATCCACCCACTCTCATTGTTCAGTGTTCCATTATTTTGATCTAGCCTGACCTTTGGCGTTGTTGTTCATCTGAACGATGGACCATTCTGTTTTCACACTGTTGTTTTCATGGTGAGGAGGAACCGCGGCTCTGTTCCTTTTTTTGCTGCCACTGTCTATAACAGCTGTTTGTTGAGTAGTTTTTTTTCTCCTTCCTCTTTGCTGTGTTTTACTATGTTTTATTTTTGATCTTCAACTACGCAGGGCTGCTCCATTCACAAGGTCTTTCTTGTGTCTTGGATAATTGATGCTTGTTTGTGGTGAATATGAGGCAGGGAAAGTGAAAAAGAAAAAGAAAAATAGAAGCAGTCTCTGGATTCCACCAGGGACTTGGTAGATGTTTGAAGTGCATACTGAAATGTTGCAGGAATAGTTTATGCAGGAAGCAGCAGATTACTACAGAGTGACAAACAATGGAGTGGAATACATGCATATGGTGCAAATCATGTACAGTGTACAGTTTGTACAGTTTGTTCTTTAAATGTAGTAGTTTAATGTTTCCAACATGTTCTGTTCTTTTCTTTTTGATTTTAACCCTGTTTAACTGTAGTGAACTTTGAAAATAAATCTTCACATATTGGATTATTACCTCTTTTAACAATTCACATTTTACCTTTCCAGTATATTAGTTAGTTTGTGTTTCTTGGCCGGTAATGAAGCTGCAGATGTTACCTTTTTTGAATGATTTCTTTGAAACTCTGGGGTGTTTCAGTGGTCATCTCTTCTGTCTTCCTCACTTGTCCACCTGCCCACACAGGATTGAAAGGCAGATTTGCCTCCGCAGCCTCTTGTGCAATAAACCTCACCGACGAAGTTATGAATAACGTGATGTTGGTTCAGACCTTGTATGGTTTTGTTTTATTACATTCTGAGCTTCTGCCCTCCTCCCCAGGAAGAGTCAATGCTTTCTTACCATAAGATATAACGTAATGAATTTTCCAAGTTCTCCGTTCCTCAACTCATCCGAGGTGTGACCTTGAACTCACCTGTGCTTCAGCACGTTTCTTCATAATCCTGCACACTCAATCCCATGACAGCCCTTCATGGTGTGACGCTCTCGCAGCGTAGGATCTTTACCCAAACACACACACACACACCCACTTTCTTAGTCTCCGTCTTTTTACCCCCACATTGGCTCCTCTCCCCCCAGTTGCTTGGCAACATTGACTGCTTTGACATGGTTGCCTGGTGAAGAACAAGAAGTGCAAAGTGTCAGATTTCGCAGCAATCAGTTTCCCTTCCATAGCTGACTACAGAGTCTGTTTAGGGATTTCTCAGAATACTGTTTAAGATAAAATATATTATTATCTCATTTTTTTTCCACCAAGAAGATTCAACACATTGATGTTTAAATAAATATTTTCAAAAATTGCCCTTATTTTGGTAAAGGCCAGAGCAAATAAAATGGACAGAGTAAATGATCAACCTACTTGACTAGATAGAAATGATAATTTCTTAGTTTTACAAAAATACAGTTTATACTTTATTTGTGACACAGTGACAGTTGTTTAAATGATCAGTGGAGTTTTTCCCTGGGATTTTGGGGTGAAATGGCGTCTGAGTTTATGACTGTATATTTTTCAGTCACAGTGTATTAATCTTCTCAGAAAAAAAAAGTCTCATTGTTTACCCTACCCTTCAGTCTAATTACCAGGCTCTCATTCCCTCGCACTTACTTTAATCTGTTCTTGTGAATAATTACAGCAACTGAAAGTGTTTTTTGTACGGAAACCACATGTGATTTAATGTTGTGTCCTTGAAACAGTGAGCTGTAATTACATGGTAGAGGACGGCTAATAGATTTTTTATAATTCTCCTCAGTCTTTTAAGAACATCTTAAATGATTGTATAGTGTATTTATGCAGTATTACTTTGTGACTTTAGGTACTAACAGACCTTTCATTATTTTTTTGTTGGCAGCATATTACCCTGGACAGCTACATCCCCTGTCTGACAGATCTGTGCAAGGCATTGTGGGAAGTGATGCTGAGCTACTACCGCACCATGCAGTGGCATGAAGAGCAGGACAAGCAGGAGAAAACATCTACTCCAGGTAACAGGCCACGCCCACTTTGTGGAACAAGTTAAAGAGCAAATCAACTGGAATCAAAATGTTTTCTCACAGTGCAATAGAACAAAAAGTAGTTCTGTGCCAAGGACAGGCAATCAAAAATATATCTGACTTTTCACATCCGCATGTCGATGTTATTGTCTGGGAAACGGATGAAAATGTTGAACAAACATTGCAGCGATCAGCAAAATCTTTGAGGATGAATCTGTCGCTTTTATGCAGACTCAGCAGGATATTATTGATCCTTCGGTGGTGTTTGTTGCAAACTGGTTCTGTATCGTCTTTAAACCAGCCAACATGTGGAGATCCCATTACTTCCTCAGCGGAGGTGAAGGTGTCTGTGTGTAGTGAATTCACAGTGTCACACCTGGAGTTCATATCTGGTCTCTTCCTTTTGTTTTCGTTCCCACTCCCTAAATCTCTGCTTCCTGTGTCCCACGTTGGAAAAGTAATTCACAGCTTCGGGCGGTGAAAATGTGGTCAGTTCCCTCCCGTGCTCTCGGGAGTGTTCCTCTTTCCTGGCATTTTGATTTCAATATAGAGTGGGATTATCAGCTTTAAAGCTCACCTCGAGGTGATACAGTGGTACAGTGTTATTGAAGCACTTTTTTCTGCAGCTTTTAGCCAGTTTTCTGTCAGTGCACGGGTCACTGGATGTGTCAGTAGCTTTAGAATCACTTTTGATTCAAGTGATGTTGTTGAAACACAGTGGAGCAGAAGCACAGCACACGTGTTTGTGTGTGTGTGTGTGTTTACACAGCACTAAGACACAACACAACCCAACACTGATTAGGAGCCTGTTTGCATGTTTTAATTTTGCAGTGTTATCACAATTAAATTGAGTTAACAGTCTGTTTTAATTACATGAGTTTAAATTATATGTACACAGTATTGAGTTTAAGTAGCAGGATTAGTATGACCGGGACCAGGACAAATATATGCGAAGACACTCAGCCATGAAAGATGCAGGGTTTTTTTTTTTTTTTTTGCATTATGGAAATGTGTCACGTGTGACTTTGAGTTTTTTCTTTTCCCGTGGCGTGATGAAAAGTGCAGCTTTAAAAGAGGCTACAATGAGTTTTATAAAAAGTAATTCGAGGCGTCCTTTCAATGTCATCTTAAAATTCATTTTATCTTTTTGATTAAGAGAAATCCTTTTGTGCATTTCACTGTGGTGAAAGAAAAATTCCTTTATACAGAAGAGTCATGAGATTACAGTGCACAAAAACAAATGGTTCACAGTCCAGTTTGATGTACTCCCACTGTTCACATTAAATTCAATATGGTGAGTATAATAAACCAGAAAAACACAGTAATGAAACAGACGATGGCAATATTAGCGACCATAAGATGCTATGCTATATATTTGCTATTTCTAGAGCTGATTTTGTGTTACATTTTTCTCTCTCACATTTGTATTATATTGCAATTATTTGTATTTTGATTCTTTTTTGGCTTGGAACCTGAGCAGACACCTCTTTTATGTTATTTATGTTAGCTTGTTCTCCCTGTAGCACACTGAACCGCAGCTCACTTCAGTGTGCTACACTGTCATGAATTCATTAGGTGAGTGTCTGTGGTTTCAAGTAGGTCCTCTGACATGATCCTCCTCTGTAGAGGAGAAAGGACACTCACCACATCTGCCTTCGCTCATCTATTATCTCACCGTTTGATTGGCTGTCACCTCGGTGGAAAGGTGTCCCCGACCCTGGCTTTCACCTTTCTGTCTTTATTCCAGTGGCCGTGTGATGTTTGCTGGATGTGGTTGTGTGTGTGTGTGTTTTCGCGCTGTGTGTGTTTGTGATCATTGTAGTGATTTACTGTTCAAGCTTTGTCTCGTTTGTGAAGAACATTTTTGCACTTGCTGTGACCTCCGAGCTCACAGTTCTTACAGGCACACCTAGTGGAGATCAGTGTCACAACAGGTATTATCTTTTTTAAACAGAGAGTGGACCACAGGCATTTCTCCAGGTGATTCAGTATAAAAACAACATGAATCTAAGTGTGAGTGTGAATTTCTTTTTGCCTCCTAATGTGACCCAGTGATGGACTGGCCAACTGTGCCCTGTCCTCGCTCGTTGACTGCTGCTAGAATTGGTTCAACCCCACTCCCCCAGTGACCCTGAAAAGGATTAAGCATCAGAGGATAAAAAGGTCAAGGAATCAAAATGGTTTTGGTATCTCTTTGATATATTGAGCCGGTCATTTCTGTGTCTTTTGCCCTGTCTTTGTAATTAATCGTTCCTCATGATGAAAGGAAACGGTTGGTCCAGGAGTTAAAACTAGGCCAGGGTCACATCCCTTCCTGAGACACCTCGCTGTCAGGTTGGGTCACACTGATGCCTATCAAGCAAATGTGTATCCTCTATGTGTGTGTGTGTGTGTGTGTGTGAGAGAGAGAGAGAGCGTAAGAGCAGACACTGAGTGTGTTGAGGGTAAATAAGTGTGACCTGTTTATATACCTGCCCCATGTTCACACACAGCAGGAGAGTGAACTTGGCAGAATAATACCAGGACATATGGAAGCTGTCTGCACCGCTATGATAAAGAAAAGCACTCAGGTCTGACATTGGCCTTCACACTTCACTAATGTTTAACAGCAACATGCTAGCTACACTGAAGCAGCGAGCCCACTCTGGGTAATAACTCATGGTTCTTTTGGCCCCATAATTTAATTTACCGGAGTTGTCAAACCTCCATTTTGCTGATGTACCGTAACATCTTAATCTGTCACTTGGTCACTCAGTGTGCTGTGGAAAAACACAGTATGTCGCATGTGTACCATGCAGGATTTCACACTTTTAAATGCTCACATAACATAACCATAACCTCTTAGGTTCGCGCATATAAAACCTGCGGCTCTCAAACAACCATAGATGCCCAGGGGTGGCATAAAAATAATAAAAAATATATAAACATTATATGTGCATTCTAAGCTGCTGTACAAATATGGTTTATATCTGGGTTTTCCAAACAATTTCCACTCTAGCTCTATACATATTATGGGTCATCGTGATGAAATTGCAGCTTTCACGAGATGTGTTCAGGTACCATCAGAAACTTGAGAATCCAATGATCATGGCAGTTCAAGTGTTGTTTGGTTCAGGACATATATTCATTTATTTTTACTAAATAAAATGAATAGCAGATATTAGTTTATAGATTCCACTTACTATAAATAAACACAGGTATATATTTTTTTTTTAAATTTATTTTAAATTTCTCTTTTCTATAGTGCGTTGAAACACTAGAGCCGTCAATATCGTCTTTGCTCTTCAACCTTTCACTTTCTACTAATCAGGCAACTGAAGTTGCTGTATTATGATGCTAATGCTGTGTCTGCTTCCCCTTGGATCATTCTGTTATGATATTCAGAAACCACGAGTTGTGTTTGGATTTTTTTCTCCTGTTAACTTTTACTGATTTATGCTAAGTCATGCAGCGGCAGCTGAGATATGAGTCATAGTCTGAAATCCATGGGGAGCAAAGGCCCCTGTTGGTTCTGCTGTAGTGTGAGTCATCGGCAAATCCATCACCTGCAATGTCACAGGTCAAATACCGGTTACCACCTATGGGTTAGTAGAAGTTATAATGGCTTACCTGATCGTTTATCTTTCTATTTTTTCATAAAGTGAAAGGATTTTTATACTATTATAAATTATTTTAAAAATCTATGTGGTTAGTACTCAGATTTGGTTATTTAAGTTTAGTTTTTCAAAACAAGTTCAAATTTGATTTTTTTTTAAATTTTTTTTATTTCCAGTATTTTGAATTTAAACTTTCATCTTTCAAGACATCCTCATTGTCCTAACCTTCTGACGTCAAACACAAAGTTCAGACTCAAACATAGACTACTAAGATCTTGTCTTCGTGAAGTTTTATGTGGCACGACAAAATCCATTTAAGATATTTAAGGAGAAACCAACTTATCGGATCTACTTCCAGTTGAGGTGAATTTCTCCTGAGTATCTCCCTCTCCTTTGGTATGCCGAGCGTTCTGCTTGGTTCTAGATTGGAGGCTGAGCAGATCTTTCTTGCCACTGACTGCGTGTTTCAGGATTTAATTTAACACATGTCCGGCGGGTAAAGTGCGGTACGCATGCAGACTGTTAAATAGGAGAGATGGAGCTGGAAATCACTGTAATGTTTATAGAGGATGGAGGTCTTCTACCTTTCAGAGGGAATGATGAACTACTGCAGAATTTAATTATTGAGGGATTTATGAAGTGAGATAATAGACAAAGAGCTAATAGACCATTTATTTTTGTTGCAATAATGTCACCAGATCGTCAGTTTGCTCTCAAGTGGAGAGGGTCTGTCGAAGTGGATGGAGGAAGACACTTAACCTTGACTTGGAGAAATGTTAGAAAACTAAGAAGCTAATCACTTACTCTCATTTTATAGTACAGGATGACAACATTTAAAAAGACTTACTGATATGGATGTAGTTTGGAGAGAAGACAGAATGTCTCTTTTGAAAATCTGGGACGACTGTATCATACACTCCATCATGGTAAGTGTGAACAGTCAGAGAGCTGAGTCTGGATCAGAGCAGGAAGAGAACCAGGTTGTCTGGGGGTTAGTCCCTCGTCTTTCCTTCCATTTGTTTGGCCTACTTTTGGAGTAATACGTTTATTTCTCTGACTTGGAACGCTTTATTAAAAACACTATATCGGCGTTTTGGCGTTTTTATTTTGGCGTATTGCTGAAGAACTCTGGGATTACAGTATATATCTGCTGAACACTGTTGTGTTTTTGTACATTTTTATTCATATGATCACAGTCCATCGTCTTTTGCTGCTTCTTTTTAAAGTCACTGATTCACCACCTTTCTGTGACTGTCCTTGTCTTGTCGTTCCTCCTCACTGTCATCAACATATTCACATGATTAAATATTCACTCTGTCGGAGGCCAATTTTTTTTATATTTGCACATTTTTTAATGATATGCTTTCCGCTCTGCTGTGTCATTATGAAAACTCCCTCACAGCCAGAAATGGCAGGAGGTATTTAGGTCTTAAAATCAGGAGGCAAAAACACCAATCCAAATATGACTCATCTCTGTTTTTAATCGAATGAAATTGGTCACACAAACAGCCACGGGTGTTAACATAAACATATATATGCCATATATATTTCATACACATATGTATGTATACGTAGTGAGGAATAACAAAAGGATTCCCATCATATCAGTGGTGTTTACCGGCTGGATTTATAGCCGTTTGTCTTTTGACACTGGTGTTTCTGAGTGTTCCTAGAAATTCATTTCACAGAGACAAACCGTTTAGGGTTGATTGAAGACAATTTCCAGCCCAAAGAAAAGAATATTTCAGCTGCTGTGATACCTCTGCAGTACGAGCACCACACGCCACTCAGACAGAGATTGAAAAAAGAGACAGAAATAAAAAGAAAAGGTTGGTTTTATTGTCCGTCAGCTTGACAGCACTTCAACACCTTACTGAGCTCTTATTGTCTCTGATCTGTTGATTTCCAGGTCACTGTCGGTCTTTTTTCTGGAATCCACATATTATTTGTAGATACTGACAATAATTCAAGATGGAAAAATGTACAAATCCCTCCAGCATATAATCCCTTTTTGGGCATAGGAGTAATCCCCATTTCTCTTTTTTGTTCCTTGAATAAATCTCCACCATACATCAATAGGATTAAACCTTAAGTCTTTTTTTTTTTTTTAAATGTTTTTTTTCACGCCTTTTTTTCTTAGACGACACAGCTGCAGCAGAGTCTGATGAGTTGGTCGTGGACCGCAGCTATGTCAAGAAGAAACTGGAGCACGGCTTGACGCGGATCTGGCAGGTGTGTCCAGAAGTGTCAACATATTTCTTTCTCTGTTTGACTGTCTGTCTGACTCTTTAGACAAAAAAAAAAAGCATTCTCCTCTTAGCTCTTTTTTAATGCATGTATTCTCTTTGTCACATTTTTCCCTAACACCTGTTCAACCTGTCTGCCGTCTGCTCCCTTTTTCCAGGATGTCCAGTTGAAAGTTAAAGCCTACATTCTGGGGACGGACATGTCCAACTTCAAATACGATGATTTCATAGTTGTACTGGATGTCATCAGCAGGTACAGCATTCTGTCCATCTCGATTGCCTTCTCCGTCTACTCATATGTTACCGTAACTTCACCCTCCACAGCCAATGGATTATAAACTTTTATGAGCTTATTTTATAAAACATTTACTTATATGATATGTAGAAACTATTTATAATCCTTTATAGTTATATAAGATTTTATACAGATATATATGATCAAAAAAAGATTATTCAAACACTCATTAGTCATCACTAAATCCTAGATTCAGGCTGAAAATGACAGATGACCCAACAGAATCTGCCTGGTTTACCTGTTTAATATAATGGAACTAATCTAATGTATTATTACACTGAGATGTACTCATATCAGCATCTCCTTCTGTTACCTGTTCTGTTGTCTCCGTCTCCACACATCACGTTGTCCACTGGTGTTCCAGGTTGATGCAGGTGGGGGAGGAGTTCTGCGGCAGCAGGTCCGAGGTCCTGCAGGAGTCCATCAAACGGCAGAGTGTCAACTACTTCAAGAACTATCACAGGTGAGACGTTTTTACACCTCCCTGACTGGAACACAACAAGACATTAATTCTTTTTATTCCCTGAGCTGCAGGGATTAATTATGTAAGGGGAATTAAACAGCGGGTGCATTGATCTGACATGTGCAGTCTGCCTGATAGCAGACTGCACATGTCAAGGTGATTGTAAGTGGCACAGATATTTAAAGAGCAAGGCTGTCAGTGCTCGACTGAAACTTTGTTGTAATCAGAAGCGCCGACTGCCTGTAAATCTCACAACTCTGGATGTAGCCCTCCCTGGAACCGACGCGCAATTATCCGATAACACCCACCGAGCTGGGAACACAGTTACATTTGATCATTTACCGCCCGCTCTGCGACCCTACGTGATTATCTCATCAGAAAATGCCACGGCATCAGAGGGGATTCGCATCGATCAGTGATTGTGAATTCCTGTCAACAATTTTTACCAAGATCTTTAAATACCTCACAGGCCTCGTCATTATGATACAAGACGATAAAATAGAGACAGGAAACAGAATTGAACTGTAATCCAGCCAAAAACAAATAGCACGAAAGGACAAAGTTACGTCTCCTCTCAGAGGAGGGCAGGGGAGGGAGAAGTAAGTAACTCCGACATGATAAATATGTAGATATGTTTTCTTCTCACAGAAAAGTGAAATGTCGAAATTTAAAAAATGTGAGGATTTTTAATTAACGTCTCATTTTCAAAACATTTTGGGGTGTTTTATGTGTTAATCTGTACAGGGTTAATTCTGCTGCAGTGTAAAAAATCATTTCATTTGTTGCCGATTTTTATTGCCTGATATTTACCAAGTTTGTAACCACCAGAGTGGCTGTCCTGCTGTGAATTTGGTTAAGAGGATTATGTTGGATTAGACGTTCATCTAGTGATTATCATACATGTTGTGGTGGACTATTACACATGTCAACGTCCTTATATAGACATAAACAAGACCACATGGCATTAAGGTTGTCAACTGTGAGCTAATGTAAAAAAAAAAAAAATATCCAAACCGAGGTTTAAAATGTGAAGTCTGTGGTCGTACAACTAATTTACAGTTTTAGTTGAGAGAGAGAATTTTGAATTTCTTCATCTGTGTAAGATTAGTTTAGGTCTGGTAACTTCTAACTGGCCAAATGTGAATGCTGTATATTAATGAGAGGGAGCTGACCATGGTGCTGATTTCAACTCTGCTACTCTTGTCTCCTATGAAGGGTATTCTAAGTGAATTTACTTAAAGGGCTTGCAGCAGCACTGAGTGAATACAGTGTCGGTGATCTTAGATTTGTTTGTAACAGTTTTCCTCAGGCTTGTCCAGAATCAGCCACTCACATGCTCCGATACACTCATTCACCTGCACATGACCCACACACACATTCACCCACAAACAGACACACAAAAGTTAGCATTTTCCTGCATATTTATTCCTCTTCCGCCTTTCAGGGCACGACTTGAAGAACTGAGGATGTTCCTGGAAAATGAGACATGGGAACTCTGTCCTGTCAAGTCTAATTTTAACATCGCCCAGCTCCACGTGAGTACCAATCACATCTCCGAGGCGGGGAAGTGAAGCGTTGTAGCGTTTATATATTCCACACTGCCACTCATCTCACATCCCCACCACCCTGTAATTTGCATAAGGATAATGTTATTAAAACACAGAGGGACTTGTGTGTTCCTGTGTGGAAAAGAAGTGACGATCACATTACGTAACAGGCTGTGAAGCACCGTGGTAATTTCCACATTCGTGTTTAAAAGACTGAAATGATCTGAGTCTAGAGATGGTTACGTACAGTTACAAGATGGAATGTCAAAGGTCGCTGACCTCAGCATTATGCTGTGCTGACAGCTCTTTCACAGAGAAGCAAACATGACATAATGATAAACATAAGGAAAACTGCAGGAGGATAAATGGATTGACTTCAAAGTCTCATTTCTCTTCATCTTATTTTCCTCTTTCATGTCTGCCTGGCTTTGGCACGTTGTGTAACAACTTACATGCAAATTAGTCTTGGAAATAAATGCTGTTTGTTAGCTGGGGCACATTTTAATGAACTTTTTAACAAATTATAAAACAGTTTGTCAGAGACGGTCCCTGAGGCCCACTGATTTGTTGTGACTTCAGTGCTTTTATTTGATTTTTTCACACATCCTAAATGAATTAATCTAGTCTATTCATATGATCATTAACATTTGAGATTTCAAGTTAAACACAAACCCTCTTCTGTCTGTTCTGTGTCCCGTCTTTGTGTCTCATCTTCACCGAACACGATCCTACATTTGTTGTCCTTCAAAGTGTCTCTCTGTCCCATTTTCTCCACTCCAGGAGTTTAAGTTCATGGGCCAGTGTCGCTCTCCGTCCATGTCTCCAAGCAGACAGGTGGCTTCGCCCTACGCCCCCGACCAGAAGGAACTGTCCCTGTTCCAGCAGTACCTGCAGGAGGGAAACCCATTTGAGGTGCACATCGAGCACAAAGAGGAGGAGACGGAGGACGTGCTGGCGTCCAACGGGGTATGTTGGATTTTTGAATTCTGTCTCACATAGCAATGGAATGTGATTGTGGTCCAGAGACGATGATCGGAAAGGCCTGGGTTAGAATTGAGGATTGTGGTCCAGAGACGATGACACTGAGTTAAAGACGCTGTGATTTTTCCCACAAGTGATCGGAAAGGCCTGGGTTAGAATTGAGCCTGTCAGAGGAGCAGCTGAGGTCGAAGAAAGAAATAGAAAAGCTGTGAAGGTTTAGACGTATGCTGAGGGGAGATAGTGAAATACATTGGACTAAAGAAGTCGGAGGTAAAGCTGCCAGGCAGGAGGAGAAAGAGAAAGAGCCCAGAGAGGATTGATTGATCGATGCGGTGACAGAGGACATGAAAAGTAGACGAGGCAAAAAAGACCGGGTGAGATTGGGGCAAATGATCCTTGAATAGAGCAGCTAACCTCTTTACCACAGATTTGTCTGGTTATACAGTGGAACACATTATCTGAAGCTGATGAAGCTGAATAAACTGTAACAGTAGAGGCATCACTGAAGGTAATAACAAAAAATATTTTTGCTGCGTCATTACTTTTCTTTTGTTATTCTTTTTCTCTTCATCCATTACCATTCCTTATTTCTCCAGTACTGGCTGGAGAATGTTTTTAAAAGCAGTCTGTTACCATTTACTCCTGCAGCGCTGAAAATAGGATTTCTGTGAATTAAGGAAATTTGTCCATTTCACAGGCAGGCAGTCGCTTTAGTATCGTCACACACTCACTTCAGCGCCGCACATGATGGGCAAACAAGACTTTGTGAAACAAACAGACGTCCTGCTCTGTTTGATGCTGGAAGGACACATAGTCTTTCACCAAAGCTTTTATGATTTACTCAGGAACATGGAACAAAAGATGAGGTGTTTGTGTACTGTGACAGCCTGTTTTTACTGCCTCATCATCTAAGCCCACCCAATAACCAAGTATCACATATAAAAAATACAAAAAAATCACATTGTTGATGCTTTTTTTATGCGCTTTTTGATCGATGCTGACAGTATTGTCTTGGTTTTATTATTTTATTTACAGCAGCTTTATAATAGCACTTCTGAACAGCCATTTTAAACAGTATTACCCTTAGAACCAGAAAACACAGAGGTGTATTGTGACATGTAATGTCAACAACGCCAAGTTGTTTTCAGGAAATGGAAATACACAAAGCTGCAACGACACCTTGAATATCACACACTTTTTTCCTCAGAGTCGACATCAGAAGCAATACTGCCTCGTCTAAAATACGAGGCCGACCAAAGCCTTAGCTCTTCTTATTCTCAAGCTTTAATCCTCACTGTATCTCTGTTGTGTTGCCTGTTTTGCAGTTAATGTCAAGAAAAACTGTTTTTTTTTTTTTACTATTTCCAGGGATTCGCCTGAACTCTGCTCTCAGAGATGAATTATGGGCTTTTTTGCTGTAAAAACCAGTTCTGGGATTTTGTATTAAATTGTAAATGCTTTAAAAATCTTCAGACAATTTTTTGTATTTGAGTATATATATTCAGGTAAGGTGCAGTATTTCAGAAACAGAGATTTTTTATCACACCGTGTCGAAGCTGCATTTATTTTTTGTCTGACCGTTTCCCCTAACTTGACTCTGATCCTTCTGCTCCTTCACTTCTCCTCCCCAGTATGAGTCAGACGAGCTGGAGAAGAGCGTATATCAGGATTATGACAGCGACAGTGATGTCCCCGAGGAGCTGAAGCAGGACTTTGTGGATGAGCAGACGGGCGACGCCCCTCTTAAGAGGTCAGCTCTAGCGTCACTTTACAACACCCTGAAGACACTCTCAGGTTGCCCAGTGAAGCTGTGTCATATATTTAGGTGTCCATTATGTTTGCTCCCTCTTTGAGATTTTTTTTTTTTTTACTTTATAAAGAAAATAACAGTCAACAACTCACATTTTCTTTCACGGAAACATTAAGTTGTGTCCTTGGCTTCTTCTGAAAGCCTTATGAGTCATGCTTCGCCCTGCTTTATTTGCCCTTGGTGGTGATAAATTGAGCTTCTCCTTCGCTTCACCCTGCCGAATAAGCAGAACTATTTTCTAAGACTTTGAGTCGACCCACGAAAAGTTCTCCTTTTTATTCACCACTGCCGGTGAGTGAGTGGTGACGTGATGATTAGCTGCTGTATTATCAGCTGTTTTGTCGCTAGGTGAAGTATATATTATTATATATATATATATTTTTTTAATTTATTTCTTTAGGTCTTACTTTTACTTCTAATTCCTTCCTCTCATGTACATTAACCCGACATTAGCCTCGAGCCACTGAATTGCTAATGTCCAATTTTACTAGCAGGTTATCAGTAATGGTTAATTATTGGATGCCTCACACCATCACATGCAGACATTACGCGGTCCATGTCTCTGTGTCAGGGGTCCGCTGGTTGGAGCCACCAGTTCACCGACTCCACTAACTGGGGTCCTTCACATTCCTCTGGGTCGTGTGTAATGGCTCCCGATTGATCAATTACCAGCCTTTGACCTGTGCTGAGGTTTTGAACCTCTTTGATCGTTTCGCAGGATTAGCGGTGTTAACACCCATCGTTGAGTCTTCTTATTCTCATGTGTGTTCCTCCTTTCCTCATCAGCAGTGTGTCCCGGGAGACCATAAGAAGCAAGAAAAAGTCGGACTACAATCTCAACAAAATCAACGCGCCCATCCTCACCAACACCACCCTCAACGTCATCCGGCTGGTCGGTGAGTCCTAAACACACACACACACACACACAGAATCAAAAGCGTGCTCCCAACCACTTACCGCTCACGCCGCTGTGGCAGCGTTTCCTGTGACCTGCTGAGACGTCCATTTATTTGCCAATTAATCTGAGAGCTTGCTGTAGTCCACATGCTTAGGTGTGACTGAGCTGCAGCGATGATGGTTAGGCCGCGCCCAGACCTTTGACCTTTGAGGTGCTTACAACACCCGCAGTGACGTGAATGCTCACACTTTAGATCCCAGCCTTAGGAAGGCGTGCTCGTTGGTGACCTGACCTTGTGATTTTCATGCGTGAACACGGATGAGCCTGATCTTCACTGAGAGATCGTAGAACTGAAAGTCCTTTTATTATACAACCTCATTTTTGCCTGTGAAAAAAATCTCTTTTATGATGGCACTCAGAGCTGTCATTATTTGTCAGAAGAACAAAAAGAGAATAAAGTCGTTTAGAGTTCTACCTGCTCAACTCTATTCATTTTATAAATCCCCTCTTTATAATACTACATACCATTTGACATCACTGATAGGTCATAAGGTCATAAAGTTCTCTGCTGGAAACAGTGCTTTCTTACAGTGTTTTGACTTAAATATAGGATATGTGCAGTAAAAGCTTTGTTATTTCTGAACTCAGTTTCTTTTTGAACTTTTTAGTGCTCTGTGGAGGTTAATTGAATTCTGTAACTACAATATAATTTTCATGGATTTTTAAATAAAAAAACCATTTCACAGAAAACCTTTGCTTTTCCTCAGGTTACATGTTTAGGTTAATATTTGATAAGTAACTTTTTTTTGCACCCAGTGCATTAAGCTGATTTACAGGCTCAGTGACGAACTTAAAAAAACAAACAGGCCAAACCTTGATTCTTTTTTTTTAACAATCATTTCTGATAGAGTGTGTGCAGCCTGGTGATGGTAATTTAGTAGATTGCTGCAGAATGCT